AAATAAAAAATAATTATATACTATAGAAACAAAATCATTATTTAAGAGTTTAATAGTTACGTATTGAGTGTGTAAAATTTTTTACACTATCAATCAATCAAAATATATTATTAATATAACTATTGAGATAATTATTATAGTCTAATATTGTAAGTGTATAGTTCTTTTTTATCGGTAGGAATCAAACTCGAATATTAAGGGGATTATAACACTCACATATATATTGTTCGATCAACTGAACTAGATTCATTGATTGTGAATATACAATCTTTTTTCTCTTAAAATAATATTAAAATTATTATATTTTTTAATATGAAAGATTACTCATTAAATTAGTATTATGTATGAAAAATGAATGATCCTTTCAATTTAGGATTTATCTCAAATAATGAGCTAGACCAACATCAATTCATTTTTTTTCTATCGATCAAAAGAAAAAAATTCAACAATTACTTGATCAAAATCATAAGATTATTTGTATGTTGTTAAATAAAAATGAGAAATGCTAATCTTTTATAATTTTGTCATCACATAATTGTTTCCAAATACAATATCATTTAATGATGTAAAATATAATGGGATAAAGGAAGAAATTAATTAAATTCAAAGAGATTGTATAATTCCAATTCATAAATCCTTTAGAGTAGCTCTTCAAGTTAAAATTTTTATTTTTAATATGTAATACTACGAATATGTATTTATGGCGGTCACGATGGCTTTGACTTTGATCTATTCATTGTTTATAATGTAGGGAATGCAAGATCTGTGTTTATAAGTTAACGTGATTAAAAAATCTAATATACACTATTATAAAAATGTCATTTTCCTGCGAATTTTTCTAAAAAAATATTTACAGAAATTTTTTGTGAATTTATTTGTAAAAAATAATTTATAGATATTTTTTTACAAATTTTACTATAATTTTAATAATTATAGAAATTTTTTTCATGGTAAAAATTTGTAGAAAATATTGTAAGAATTTTATTTTATTTCTTGCAGATTTTCTTACAAAAATAAATTCGTAATTAATGTTTACTAAATGGTAAAAAAATTTTGCAAGTAACTTTTCTTGCAAATTTTAATCTGCAAGAAAAAAAAATATTTAAATTTATAGGTTTAATATTTTAATAAAATTTTAAGTCCCACATCGATTGAAAATAAAATAATTAAAGAGTATATAAGTTGAGCCAACACTTATCTTACAAGTTGATTTGTATGGTTGAGTATTAGGCTTATAATCTACAATCTTAGAATTTAAAAGATTATGTTGGAGGCATGGAACAAATACTTCGGATGAATTCATTGTGAGCATTTGAAAGTTGAAAAATTATTGATAGAATTTGTAGTAATTTCTTTAATTTTTTTCATAAAAAATATTCCTGCAGAATTTCTTGCGAAAAAATTCACAGGAAACTTTCCTGCAAAATTTAAAATTCGCAAAAATATATTATCCACGAAGGTATTATCTGCAGATAAAATTTCACAAAAAATTTTAGTTAAGGAATTAGTTACTTCTAAAATCAACTATTCTATTTTATTTATAGTGATGGTTTCATCGAGTAATTAATAATATTTCTTTTGTGTTGATAGAGATTTTAATATAATTATGAAATTTAAAATCTATCGGCAGGATGTTGTATAAATTTAAAGATATTATCTTTATTTCAATAATTTATTTTTGCTTTAGAATGCAATTATGTCTATAAGTAAAAGTTCTTATGAGAAAAATCACTGAGTCTTAGACAAAGTAAGAGACTTATTTCCTCCAAAACAAGGCTAATACGCCGTCCTTTTAAAGGATCTTTAACTACCATATCATACAGGCTAACGACTGATGGCCTCCCTAATTCTTTTGATCTTCAAAACAAAATTAATTAAGTTCACATAGAAACGCATTATTTGAAAAAGGTGCTCATGAAAGAAAAACTAGCTAGTGTACTTCTCTGAACATGCATTATAGTTTTTGACCAGGGAGCTTGTGTTCTTTGCTTTATACATATGTTGCTATTAAATGATTGCAGAGCTAAATTATTTGTGATCAATACCTTGATTCTCAGATTCTATACTTTCAACCAAACACATTTGTTCAAGTTTGTTTGTTTAATTTGTGATAGTTAATTATTATTATAATTATGTCGTGCATGCACGTTATATTCCACAACCACAACTTCAGAAAAATTAAGCACAATTAAACAATATTACAATCACTTAATTTATTTCAGAAATATAAATATTGCCGGCAGCTAGGAAAACTGATCAAAAGCTAGAATCTCCAAGAGCTTTATTAATTATTTATGGAGCATGAGAAGTCAACTAATTCTAAGAAACAAAAAATGTTATTATAATTTAAATCGATACCGAGAGAGAGACCACTCAAAACCCTCTTTATTGTGTATAAATATCAACCACTTGGATAATCATCATAATATGCAATTGCATATAGTACTTCAAGTTTCTGATACATGATCGTCGATCCCTACATTTTACAAAACACGTACCATTTCCAAGAAGCAGACAAATTAAAGTAAAAGAAGATGAATCAAACGTTGGAAAGGATGCATGAGGTGTAACTTGGCTTCACTTTGAATGCAACCATGATGGATAAGCCCAAAATCTTGATCAAGAAGAGTTCACAAAAAGAAAAGCATATTTTTGTGCATCCACAACCTTTGAGAAAACCTTCCACACCTTCAAATAATGTTAACAGTTTGCACACTCTACCCTTACTTCAACCTTCTTTCAAATTCTTGGCCATCACTCATCCAAATTCAACCAACTCATCGCCTAGACCTAATTTTGCAAGAAAGAAAGTAACGATTAAGAGCCTTGAACCATCATCAAGTGAGGTTAGAAACATGACCTACAACTACAAGCTGCAAGAAATTCCAAAAAGTGACAGGGCTAAGGAAGAGGGATTCAAATGCGGTGCACTTTGCATGTATCTTCCAGGGTTTGGTAAAACAAAGCCAATTAAAGAAAGAAAAGAAGAAACCGAAATGCATGCTGTGAAACCTGTGTTATCAGAGCCAGATTCTTTGGAAAAATTTGAACGTAGAATCCATGAAAATGAAGGAGATAACTCCATCAGCTCCTACTTTGATCTGCCATCTGAATTTTTTAAATTCAGTAGCCATAATGCATAATCTCTGGATATGTGATGTACCTTGTTTCATATATAATACATTTATCTTATCTATATCTATATATACAAATTAATGTAGAAAGCCTACTAATTTAATTAGATCTTATCATATATATGTGATGTACCTTGTTTTATATTGTATATATAGAATTGGTTTGAATACTAATTTAATTAGAAGAGTTATCGAGAATTTTTTAACAGAAAAATATTTTTTATTTTTAATATTAAAAAAAAGAGTTTTTAAACTCAAACAAATTCATAATTTTGTTTAAATTTTTAGCTTAGATAAACCTTTTCATCTTGTTTGTCTCTCATATTTGGCTATGGTATCACCTCCACAAAGTTTCACACACACACGTATATATATATATATATATAGAACGTTATTTTTTTTAGATAACTAATAATTAAATAAATATAATTCATTATTTTAAATAAGGGCGTTACAACAAAGGTTAAAATAATAAGGGTGTTTCTAACTTTGTTGTCACTAATCTACATATAAAATATTTACCAATAATTTATATAATAATTAATTTGATTATTATTTTTTACTCATTAATTTGATTATTATTAAAAATAGTAACATGTATCATAATTTAATTGATTAATACTAAAAATGACGAATTGAATCATAATTAAATCAATTTCAATTAAAAGAGTAAATGTTATCAAATAAAATTAAACGTTAATTTTTATATTAAAATTGATCTCTCTTTAATAATAATTTAATTAAGATTTAAATACGTTTTGTCTCTTAAATACAGTTGTACAATTTTAGTTATTAAAACTTAAATTGAGTAATTTTAGTCTTCAAGTATTATAATTGTGTAAATTTGGTTTTTCTAATTTTAATTAAGTATTTTTATCCTATCAAATATCATAATTATATAATTTTTTATCTATATAAATTATATATATGATTAATATTATATATATATATATATATCATCTAATTATGGTTCAATTATCGGTAACTTTACATTTTCAACCAAAGTCTAAGTGAGAACAGTAAAATCGTTGAAGCTGAAACTATAAGATATCCTGAATTTTGATATCACTTTTACTATTCGACAATACACATTATTTCTCGCCTCTAGGACTTCAGACTTCTTATTAGCATTGTAACCACATACACTAGTTTCCTTCTCCCACCTGCCAAGTCCTCTGATGCTGACACTTGAAGGCAACCCAACATCTTATTTTATTCTATAATTCTTATGCATGAATCGCTCGCCCCTGGCATGCCATTACGGTGTCTTTAATGGACATATATTTTGATAAAAGTTAAAAAGTTTAACAAAAAAAAAAACGTGGTCAATAAGCGAGTAATTTCCTTTTTACTCCTTTATGAACTATGATTTGTAGTGCATATCCATCATCCAGATGATTTTGTTTCTTTTTCATTCTTTTGGGACAAAGCATGGGGCTTACTTTTGAGATAACCTGTACAAAGAGAAAACATCTCAATCACATTGGTAGCTTGGTTCATCAGATGTTAACAAAGTTGATGACCCCGAACTAGCATAGCAGCATATAGGTCGTATGTAGATATAATAGGTAGAATTGTATTCTCATTAAAATGCAAAACATGAGAAGTTAAATCCAAATTAAGAGGTTCTGATTTCGTAGGCCCCTTGATGCAACAGATAGAAGCTATGCCTTTTCAATTGTTAACATTCTTATTAGGATCTTTAGAGGTAATGTTGCAATCACACGAAGGCTACATCTCCTCTTGCATGCTTTATGTCATTTACTACGCACTACGTCTCAACCTTCTAATCCTATCATAACCATGCATTCACAAAAGGCCATAAATAGCATGCTAACATTCTCTACCAAATCATCACCTCCAACAATGGCTGCAGTGTTCTGGGTATTGGCTTTAGCCAGCCTCAGTTACCCGCTAGCCACAACCAATGCCCAAGCACCATCAGGTTCATCACCCTCCAACTTGCCAACTTCAACCCCTATAGCACCCTCTACATTGCCAACCACAACCCCAGCTACACCCTCAACATTGCCAATCACAACCCCAAACGCTCCCTCTACATTGCCAACAACTCCAACTGCACCCTCAGCATTGCCAACCACAACCCCAAATGCCCCCTCTCCATTGCCAACCACAACTCCAACTGCACCCTCAGCATTGCCAACCACAACCCCAAATGCCCCCTCTCCATTGCCAACCACAACTCCAACTGCACCCTCAGCATTGCCAACCACAACCCCAAATGCCCCCTCTCCATTGCCAACCACAACTCCAACTGCACCCTCAGCATTGCCAACCACAACCCCAAATGCCCCCTCTCCATTGCCAACCACAACTCCAACTGCACCCTCAGCATTGCCAACCACAACCCCAAATGCCCCCTCTCCATTGCCAACCACAACTCCAAATGCACCCTCAACATTGCCAGCAGCAACTTCCCCCTCTTCTGGTACACCATCAGTAGCCAAACAACCACCTGTTGTGGCTGCAACTCCTTCCACACCAGTAGCAACTTCTCCCACTTCTACTAACAAGCCACCACCAACAACCACAGCTGCACCCTCCAAATTGCCAACTGTTGCTTCCCCCACTTCTTCCACACCATCAGCAGCCACAAAACCACCCATTGTTACAACATCCCCTATTTCCTCAAGGAAACCACCAGTAGCAACCTCCCCCACTTCAAGCAAACCACCACCAACCACTCAGGCTCCTGTGAAATCACCAGTTCCAAAAGTTGCATCTCCAACATCATCTGCTCCAGTGAAATCACCAATTCCAAAAGTTGCATCTCCAACATCATCTGCTCCCGTTAAATCACCAGTTCCTAAAGTTGCATCTCCAACATCATCCGCTCCTGTTAAATCACCAGTTCCTAAAGTTGCATCTCCAACATCATCCGCTCCTGTTAAATCACCAGTTCCTAAAGTTGCATCTCCAACATCATCTGCTCCTGTGAAATCACCAGTTCCCAAGGTTACATCTCCAACATCTGCTCCCGTGAAATTACCTGATCCTAAGCCTTTACCACCATCATCTGCTCCAGTTAAATCACCAATTCCCAAAGTTTTACCTCCAACTTCTACTCCAGCGGAATCACCGATTCCCAAAATTACACCTCCAAAAATTGCTCCTGTGAAACCACCTGTTCCCAAGGTCACACCAGCATTAAGTCCAAAACCCCCATCTCCCAAAATCCCACCACCACAACCTCCCAAAAAAGCACCTATCCCACAACCACCAGTTGTTTCACCCCCACCATTGCTCTTACCACCTGCTGATTCACCACTATTGCCTCCTCCAAAAGTATCCCCAACCCCAGCCAAAGCACCAACAGCCCCAGCACCAGCCAAAGAAACACCAGCACCAGCACCTGCACACAAAAAGAAAGCACCAAAATCATCACCTGTTCCTTCACCACTAAGTAACACGCCAACACCTGCACCAACACCTGCATCAGAGACGCCAACACCAGCACCAGCACCTGAAGATGACACACCAGAACCACCACCCCACAGGCACAGGAAAAGAAGGCACAAGCATAAGCACAAGAGACACCACACAGTATCTCTGGCTCCAGCACCAACTATTATTCGGAGGAGTCCCCCAGCACCACTTGCGGACGATATTACTACAACCGAATCAGAAGAGACACCAACACCAGCACCAAGCCCCAATGCGGTAATTTTATCTTGAATACTAAATTTATATTACAATTAATATATACATTGGCTTCCGGAAGATCTGGAAGAAAAAAAAAGACTCTGGGAGAACATGAGATTGAAGATGACATTTATATATAGTTAAATCTATCTATACTAACTGCCATCACATTTTTTTTCATCTAATAAATTAATTAAACATTTAGGATGTTTTTACCACATCTCATTTGTTAATCCTTTTTTGGTTTACAGAATGGTGCAGAATCATACAGTAGGCAAGGGAATATATGGTCAAGCATTGGACTCGCTATTGCCATTTTGTTATCTGTCATCACCTGAAACTTGCAACAGCTACTATAGAAGTCTCAAAAATGATGACTACGGATTCACTTTAAAAACGGTGGTTTGGTTTGCAAAATATACTAAGTCATTCAAATGTATGAAACTGAATAACGAAAAATTATATCTGTATCTTTTTATTTTTTATTTTTATTTCATTCATTTTCGTATTGTGATCTTTGCTAAAAAAATATTAATGATACGAGTTTTTGAATTGTTGAAACAATCGGGAACTGCTAAGCAGAATGTAGAAGTGTCTATATATTTCCCATTAAATTTGATCAATTTCTGAATGCATGTTTATTTTCTCCAAAAAGTTGTACTTAACTCCAACATAGACAACTAATTGGTGACAACCTCCAAAGTCATTTTGCTCTCCAATGAGATCACAAACATCAAATGGCTTGAATTGAAATAGAACATAGTCCAATTTAGATAATTTCTGTTATAGAAACAGAGAAAAAGTTTCTAGAGAGAGAGAAAATAAGAAGAAAATATAGAGAAGATGAACTAATTTCATCTTGATAGAAACTGAAGTACGTTTATCAATACTTAGTTGGCTACTGACTCAGCAGTCAGTTACAAATGAAGATTAGTTACAAGTACAACAACTCACTACTAAGTCGTAATATCACAGGGAAGGAATTATATTTAGTAATCTATATATATCTCTATTATTCCCCCTCAAACTGGGGGTGAGTGACCGAAAGTAAATCGCCAAGATGCTATGCTAGTCTCTTAACATCTGAAACCAGAGATAAGACAAAGGTTTGGTAAGGATGTCTGTTGTTTGGTCAAGAGCAGTTATGTGTTTTCCTATAATGTGCTTTTGTAGAACCTTTTCTTTCAGGTAAAAAGATGTCATATTCCATATGCTTTGTTGTGGAACAAACAACAAGGTTACGTCATAGAGAGACAATGCTTAGATTATCACAGTATAGCTCAGGTACTTGAAATGGGACTTTAAGTTCTGAGGAGGGACTGAATCCACAGAACCTAAATAGTGTTAGCAAGACTCCTGTATACTCATTTTTAGTGGTGGATCGCGTCACAAGTGTTTGTTTCTTTTACCACCATGAAACAAGATTAGATCCACTTATATACACAGGAACCAGAAGTGGATTTTCGATCATCACTCGCCAGGGCTGAACCCCAATCAACATCAGAGAAAGCAGAAATGGTGAGTGGCTGATGCAGAGATCAAGGCTGAAGAAGCATCCTAAAATGAAGGGACCCATTAAGATAGCGAAGAATATGTTTTACTGCCTTCCAATGAGTTTCAAGAAGTTAGGATAGAAATTGGCAAGCTTTATTCACCGCATAGCTGATTCCAGGCTGTGTAATAGTAGCATAATTGTAGGGCTTCAACAATGGATCAATAAAATGAAGGGTCAGCAAGAAGATCTGTTCCATGTCTAATTGTCTACTAATTTTAACGTTTGTGATCATAGGGGCAGGTAAACCTTTGGCATCTACCACGTTAGCTTAAGACAACTAGTCTCTAATGTATTTGATTTGAGACAAAAATTGATCCATTGGCTAGATGATAAACTTCACTGCCTAAAAAATATTCAAGTTTACCAAGTTCTTTTAGAGAAAATTTGGCATTCAGTTTTGAGATACTATGTTGGATGAGATCATGAGAGGAAGATGATCTCCAGTCATGATTATACCATTAACATAAACCAGAATGATAACTAGAGGAAAACCCAAGACGAAGAGGAGCGGATTTTAGTTGATCAAACAGGAGGGATTGCTTAAGCCCATAAATGGCATTATGTAGTCTGCAGACTTAGATATTTGTCTTCAGCTTCAAATCCAGGGGGCTGTTGCATATACACTTCTTCAATGAGAATACCATTCCGGAAATCATTGTTCACATTAATTTTTTTGATGTGCCAATGCTTAGAGATAACTAGCGGGTAGAAGTAGAACAATACGAAAATGACTGGTTTGACAACAGAAGATAATGTCTCTTGAAAATCAACACCTTGTTGTTGGTAGAACCCTTTCGCAGCAAGTCATGCGAAGTATTTAATAGTTTTTAATTTTTTTAAAAAATTTATAAACTTGATGCATGTATTAAGAAATTTAAATTCAGTGATTGGATCGTTAAAATTTGATATAAAATATGAGTTATTAAATAAAGTAAGTATAAGTATATATAAACTTACTCTTAGAATAAACAAATATCTCTCTCTATTTATATATATATATATACGAGGGGAGTTATAATTACACCGGTATAATTTTTACTAAGTATTACACTGTTCAATAACTTTATATTAAATGTAAATTTTGTAAATCCAACCGTTAGATTGAAAGTTCATATCACTCTATACTTATATATCAAATTTTGTTAAAATTGAACAACAACTTGAAGGTAATCGAAATGTTCATATTTTAGTGTATTTTGAAATGAATATATTACGTCGATTTTGTTTTATAAAAATAAAGTATCAAATCATCTTGGATTAATATGAAATTTTGTATATATGATCTAAGATATATGAATTTTCAATCTAACGATTGGATTTACAAAATTCACATTTAATATAGAGTTATTGAGCCGTGTAATACTTAGTAAAAGTTACACCGATGTAATTATAACTCATATATATATATATATATATATGACAAGCTTTTATTGCTAAGTCATAGATGGCTAGTCATTTTAAAGAAATACAACCTTGTTAATACTTAATTAACTTGTCAATGCTAAAAATTCTATAGATATTAAGTCAAGTTAACCATGTTAAAATACTCTAGGCCAAGTAAGTTAAGTAGGATGTATATGAGGCTAAATTGGCTAAATTAAATATACTAAAGGTAAATTTAACTATATTAAAAGTCTATTTAATAATAAATTGCCATGTGTGAAGAAAGATCTATTTGTCAAGTCAAGCATCAATACCTTATAAAATTGGTGGTCCCTAATTTCATAATTAGGGTTCTTATTAATGGGAAGAAATACATAAATTAAGCAAAATTATTGAATAAATACAAAGATGAAGAAGTCTTCCCTGATTATGTTGATTGTGTGGACGGGAAAAATTTGACTCACTCTCACAATAGATGTCAAATGTACTTACAAAAAAGTAATATTTCTCTTTCGAATAAATAAAGAATCTCCAATTTTCTCGCCATCTAACTGATCTTTGTTCGAGTATGATCTTCTAATTCTGAAATCACAAAAAGGGGAGTTACATGTAAAGATCAAGTACTTCATGATCAAGTTGGTGAGTAATTAATTAGAGTAAAAGATAAAAAATCAAAATTAACCTACACCTATATCAAATCCCTTTATTTATAATATTTGTGTTTTATATTAGTGAAGTATATAGACAGTTATTTATCTTTTTAGACAATACATGACATAAGTGAACATTTTTCCCCCTACAAATTAAGAATAAATTATATGATTTTATGTATTTGATGTTTTTAAATGTTCTTTTAGCTTAAGTTATTATTGTTTATTAGTTATATATATAATATATATATATATATATGTATTATCATTAAATCTACGGGAGGTGTTTTTTATTTTATAGGTTATTGATTATTGCCTAAAATATAAAACATATTAAAAAAAGTCACTTATTTTTACATTAATTATGAAATTAATTACTTGATGGTAAAAAATTATTTTTTACGTCAATTATTAAATTAATCCATGTAGAAAATAATTTATTTTACATCGATTATTGTCTTAACCAATTTAGAAAGTTGATAATTTTATGTCAATTAGAGAAATAACTGATGTAGCAATGATTAACTTTTTATGTTAATTCTTCAATAAATATAATGGCATAATTTTAAATTTTGGATTGGTAGATAATTCGATGTAGATACTTGGTTATTGGATGAATTAGTAGGTTATTAATTAAATTTCATAAATTAATATAAATAAAATATAGTATAATGTAGTAATATATTTTATATTTGTTATCAAAAATTAATATGCGGTCAAGCAGGTTGTTCTCGAACCATTAGGAGCATGGTTTGATTATGTGTCGACCAACATTTTGTGATATTTTACTATAGATTTAACACGCATTAGCCACATTAGCATTATTTAATGGTTATTATTGTTACTGAAAAGAAGTTAGAGAGAGAAGATAGGAGAGAATCTAAATTCCACGAAAATTCAAAACCCCACCACATTCCAGCACGCAACTCGAAAGCTATTAACATTGGTCCATACTGAGTTATTACCAATTTATTGACGTCATTAACGAGTCAAATCCGATCTAATTAACGGTTCGAATCAACAGTATGTCCGAGTGTCAACGTAAATGTTTTCTTTTCTTATTAGTTTCGTTCTAGACATGAGTGGCAAATCTTTCTTTTAGACAAAATGACTTCTCAGTTTAAAAAGAACAAAAACAAAGACATGGTGCTAGTATTGTAGAGGTACTATAAGAGTATCTGACACTCAAGAAAATATAACATACGGTGGGATAATATATTTATGCAGAAAAATAGAACAATGGCATGTTCTGCTTCATATCTTATCACACTGCCATACACAAGCATATAGGTTTTACAAAACACCGATGAACACTGCAAATTCTAGTCGCTTCAGATGCCTTTTATCTACACTTATTTACATTACATGCTGGCGAAGCTTAGGCTGAACTAATTTTAAACCAATATTAATAATCATATTTCTAAAAAAAATAGTTAAATTTGACTTTAGAGAAGTATTTAGGATACTACAAATTTTTAGTTTTTCAAAAATTTGAAATTAAAAATATTAATTTTCTATGTTTAACTATTATTATTTTTTTTAAATGACATTCACATGAAATATTGTTGGCTCGGTCTTGAATTTTTTTTAAATATTTTAGGTGAATTAAAAAGAAATAATATTCTCATAATTATTTGAATATTATCTATGATCCAAATTAATTGTTTATCTCAACTTTTATCTTTAAACATGCATATTTTAATTTAATTATAGTATATATAAATACATTTTAAAAACTACGTACCTATTGGGATACAAACAAGTCCCACATCGATAAAATAAAACAAGAAATAACAACTTATATAACATAAACATACTTCAATGAATGAGAGACCTTTTGGGTGATGACCAAAAGTAAAATCGCGAGGGCTTAGGTCCAAAGCGGACAAAGCGGACAATACCTTATAAAGATAGCAAATTAATGAAAATATAAAAAAAAGTTAGAATTTTTTTTCTACTATCATATAACAAAATATGTTACGTTTGGTCTAGATAAAAAAAAAAAAGTAACAAAAATATATTGTTGAAACAGTTAAGGTATAATATAAAGTAATAAAATTATAACATTTTTCTAATTCGAGAATAGGAATAAGAGATCCACTTCATCAATAATGTGGCTGTTTATTCCTTTATGAACAATTTTCTTATAAGCTAAACAATTTTATTGCTAAATAAACTGCATTATTATGAACTATGAGTACACATATCTCTATCATCCAGGTGTTTTTGTTTCTTTTTCATTCTTTTGGGGGAAAAGCTTGGGACTTACTTTTGAGATAACTATGCAAAGAGAAAACATGTCAATCACAGTGGTAGCTTGGTTCATCAGATATAACAGAAGGTGATGACCTCGTACTAACATATAGGTCGTATGTAGATATAATAGGTAAAATTGTATTCTCGTTGACATGCAAACATGGGCAGTTAAAACCAAATTAAAGGATTCTGATTTTGTAGGCCCCTTAATGCAACTGATATAAGCCATGCTTTTTCAATTGTTAACATTCTTTTTAGGATCATTGGTTTGGTGGTAATGTTGCAATCACTCGAAGGCTACATCTCTTCTTGCATGCACTACGTCTCAACCTTCTAATCCTATCATAACCATGCATACACAAAAGGCCATAAATAGCATGCTAACATTACCAAATCATCACCTCCAACAATGGCTGTAGCGTTCTGGGTATTGGCTTTAGCCAGCCTCAGCTACCCTCTAGCCACAGTCAATGCCCAAGCACCATCAGGTTCACCCTCCAACTTGCCAACTTCAACCCCTACAGCACCCTCTACATTGCCAACCACAACTCCAACTGCCCCATCAACATTGCCAACGACAACTCCAAATGCACCCTCAAAATTGCCAACTACAACTCCAAATGCACCCTCTACATTGCCAACCGAACCTTCTCCCTCTTCTGGCACACCATCAGTATCCAAACAACCACCTGTTGTGGCTGCAACTCCTTCCACCTCAAAGAAGCCATCAGCAGCAACTTCTCCCACTTCTAGCAAATCACCACCAACTACTCAGTCTCCTGTGAAGTCAACAGTTCCCAAAGTTACATCTCCAACATCATCTACACCTGTGAAATCACCGGTTCCCAAAGTTGCATCTCCAACATCATCTACACCTGTGAAATCACCGCTTCCCAAAGTTGCATCTCCAACATCATCTGCTCCTGTGAATTCACCTGTTCCCAAAGTTGCATCTCCAACATCATCTGCTCCTGTGAAATCACCAGTTCCCAAAGTTGCATCTCCAACATCTTCCGCTCCTGTGAAATCACCGGTTCCTAAAGTTGCATCTCCAATATCGTCCGCTCCTGTGAAATCACCGGTTCCTAAAGTTGCATCTCCAACATCGTCTGCTCCTGTGAAATCACCGGTTCCTAAAGTCTCATCTCCAACATCTGCTCCAGTGAAATCACCGGTTCCCAAAGTTACAACTCCAACATCTGCTCCTGCAAAATTACCGGTTCCTAAAGTAACATCTCCAACATCTGCTCCTGTGAAGTTACCAGTTCCAAAAGTTATAACTCCAACATCTGCTCCTACAAAACTACCAGTTCCCAAAGTTTTACCACCAACTTCTACTCCGGTGAAATCACCTATGCCTAAGATTTTACCACCAACCTCCACTCCTGTAAAATCACCGATACCCAAAATTACACCTCCAAAAATAGCTCCTGTGAAACCACCTATTCCCAAGGTTACACCAGCATTAAGTCCAAAACCCCCATCCCCCAAAATTCCACCACCACAACCTCCTAAAAAAGCACCTATCCCATTGCCACCAGCGGTTTCACCCCCACCATTGCCATTACCACCAGCTGATTCACCACTGATACCTCCTCCAAAAGTATCCCCAACACCAGCCAAAGCACCAACACCAACCAAAGAAACACCAGCACCAGCACCTGCACACAAAAAGAAAGCACCAAAAGCATCACCTGTTCCTTCACCACTAAGTAACACGCCAGCACCTGCACCAATTGAAACACCAACCCCAGCACCAGCACCTGCACACAAAAAGAAAGCACCAAAAGCATCACCTGTTCCTTCACCACTAAGTAACACGCCAGCACCTGCACCAATTGAAACACCAACACCAGCACCAGCACCTGAAGATGACACGCCAGAGCCACCACCCCACAGGCACAGGAGAAGAAGACACAAGCACAAGCACAAGAGACACCACGCAGTATCTCTGGCTCCAGCTCCAACGATTATTCGGAGGAGTCCCCCAGCACCACTTGCTGACGATATTACTACAACAGAGTCAGAAGAAACACCGGCACCAGCACCAAGTCCCAATGCGGTAATTTTATCTTTGACCACTAAATTTAAATTTCAATAAGTATATACGTTAGCCTCTGGGAGAACATATGGATCAAAGATGACATATATATAGTTAAATCTATCTATACTTATCACAAGTTTTAACCACATCTCATATTTGCTTTTTTTTTTTTTTTGTTTGTTTACAGAATGGTGCACAATCATACTATAGGCAAGGAAATATATGGCCAAGTATTGGACTCGCTATAGTCATTTTGTTATCTGTCATCACTTGAAACTCGCAACAGCTGCTATAGAAGTCTTATATGACGACCATGAATTCATTTTAAGCGGTGGTTTGGATTGCAAAGCATATATATAAAGTTATATATTTAAATGTATGAAACTGAATAACGATTAGTTATATCCATATCTTATTTAATTTTTATTTCTTTCTTTTTCCTTATTGTGATCTTTGCTTAAAAATATTAATGATCCGAATTTTTGAATTGCCGAAACAATCGGGATCTGCTAAGGAGAATGTAAAAGTGTCTATATATTTCCCATTAATTTTGATCAATTTCTGAATGCATGTTTATTTTGTTCAAGAGGTTGTACGTGTTACATTATCCATTGTTGATAATTAAGGATGTGTTTGTTTTGCAGTTAGGTTTATATCACTTGTTTTGATTTTTTTACATTGGAAAGTGAAAAAAATTCATTCAACTGGTGTTGAACAGTTCTCCAAACACATATTAATTGGTAACTATTAAGATATAAATAAGTCTCACATTAATAAAATAAAAGAAAAAATAATTACTTATAAAGCATATACATACTCCAATAATTAAGAGGTTTTTTAGATGATAACCAAAAACAAAATCACGAGGACTTAGATCCAAAGCGAACAATATCTCATTATTGTGGAGTTGAAGTTGTATGTGAAATAATCTTATAAAAATAACCCTTATAAAATATCCCATCATACAAGTACCATAAAATAAAGACAATATTTTGTTGCTAATTGGTGACCGTTGGAATACAAACAAGATGTGTGAAATAACCTTATAAAAAAATCTTTATAGAATATCTCCTCATATAAATATCATAAAATAAAGACAAAATTTTACTGCTAGTTGTGAGGGCTTTTGTAATTTTTTTAGACTATGTTGAAGTTAGGGGCCAAAATAGTGGCTCACTCAAGAAAAAAAATAAAGAGAAAGAAATGAATAAAATATATAAAAAATGACACTACGAAAAATAAGAAGAAAATGCAGTAGAAAGGAGGTACACCAAGTTAGGTAACAAGAAATTTTTTTTATGTCTCTATTGTACATATCTTTTACAAAGAAATCATACAAGTAAAAAATACAATTTCTAATTATGTATTCATCGATTGCTATATATCTAGTACCAAAAGACTTGTATGGATTTTGACTCAAAAGAAGTTTACCAATAGGAGTGAAACGTGACCAATATTCAAGAGCAAAGAGAGAAATAATTTTACATGGTATCTACTTCAATTCCTCACCTATCTCACATTTTGTACTCTACAATTTCGTACATATCTCTTTCCTTTTGCATTTTGTCATCAAACTGGACGAAGCAAATGCATTTGAAAAGTCTGTGGTAGCCACTAGCCTCTTTCTTTTAAGATTGCATTGTAGGACTTCACAATATATATATAGTTTAATTACTCACAAACGTTCTTCATTTAACAAATTGTGTTCCCTTGGTGGTGTTGAAGGATGGTCATTTTGAGTGACATATTCTTCATTTGTCATCACAGTATTGTCTGGTCCTGGTGCTCCCAACCCATCTTCTTCCAACTCTACCCCAACATATTGTTGCACTATCAACACAGAAGCAGTGGCTGAAAAATCTGCTGAAGCCAACAAGTCCCCAATTGCTCCCAACTCTGGACACTCACTCCAATCAGTGAGTCCTGCTGTGAGTGGTGATGTCATTCCACGCCCTTTCCCAATTATGAAAAGGTCATGAATATCATCCATTGACCTAATTGCTGCCATTGTCTGCTCCCCATTGCTAACCATTTTCTCAAAGTAAACAACCGAATCATCATCCAAATGACTCGTCCTAAACCACTCTATAAGCTTCTCATCAAGTTGCTTCTGAGTGTCCTTATCCGTTTCCACTGTTAGTACCCCTGGTTCATCAGTGTGCCCACTGTGATCATGATTCACTTCTTCCCCATTAACAAAACGCATCACAGAGAGGAATATCCCTTCATTTTCTGACATCCTCCAACCATAGCTCAATGCTTCTCTGTCATCAGGCCCTCCAAAGAACAACACTGCCACGTGGTGAGACTTTTGGTCTGGACGCAAATGGTTGGATACAGTTAAGCCTCTATCCACTAGGATGCCCACTGAGCAAGGTGCTTTGGCTAGAACATTGCGGTTCACGTTGCGAAATGGCATGTTCGTAGCCTCCATTCCACCATCAACCGTTTGTTGTTTGTGGAAAGGGAGGATTATGAAGGCCACACGCTTGTCTTGAGCTAGGTTACATACGTCCTCATGCATGCTTGAGTAAGGGGAGATTGCGGTCAAGGGCTGCACTGAGATGTTAGAAGAATTTTGCTCGTAGATTTCAAAGGCGTTGATTATGTGGTCAGATACGGCTTGAGGCCTATTATAGGGGGTTTGATCTGATTTCCTAGCGTTCTGGTTATGAACAATGAGTAATGCAGATGCATGGCCAGTGAGTTCGGTCAAATGGAGCACATAAATGCATATTGGAGACGTCTTTGATGGGTTAGTGGCGTCAAGGAGGTTAATCATTGTTGGCACGTTCTTAGGGGTGTGGATGCACACTAGGACTCTGAACTCTGCATCTCTGTGTGACGCCTGAATGGTTCTTCTTTTGTAGGATATGATCCCTCTTGATGGTTTGTATATAGCTGTTATCCCAGGTACAATTATTCCAGTCATTATTATGGTTATAATCACCATGGATGCGAATGATTCTTCAGACAAAACCTGTAAGCAATTTGTGGATACCATAAATTTACTGGATACTTGGTTAGAGAAAGAGATAGAAGAGGAAAAAAAATGTAGATATATTGTAAAAAAAGAGAGATATTGAGTATTACTAAAGTATATTTAGACTAGATAAATGTTGGTATATTATTACTCTAACATTTTATTTTGTTAACCATAATATTAGTATAAAATATCTACTAAATATTATAAAAAACAATGATTAATCACACAAAGTAGATATGTATCCTTTTGTAAGTATAACTTAATTCATACTCAGACATAAGTCAAGTCCTAAACAATTTGATTTAAATATACACAAGTCATTATTAGTTGTATAAATCATTGTTGGTATCATTAGGCTCACATAATATATACATGTAACAATAGCACATGTACTTGAGTACAATAGAATTGGCTAGTACCTTTTGTTCCTTGCCAATGTTAAGCACGATAACTTCAATGATGCCTTTTGTGTTCATGAGCAAGCCAAGGACTACTCCATCACGAACTGACATTTGATAATAGACTGCAACGGCTATAGTTCCAACGATTTTGCCAATGCAAGATAAACCAACAAGAGTGAGCAACTCTGACCATATGCCGAACCCTTTGAGGAGTCCTAGATCAGTCTTTAGGCCACTAGAGGCGAAGAATAGAGGCAGCAAAAGTATTGACATAAAGTCCTCGAGCCTTTCCACAAGTGTGAGTCCGAGTGGTCCATTTGGGATTGCCAACCCAAACACAAAAGCTCCAAAAAGAGCATGGGTTCCAATAACATCCGTGATCAAACCTGAGATCATGAGACCTGATAATATCATGCAAATAAAGAAATCGCTGAATGGTTCACCTTCTGGGGTTCTCCTTATTGTCCACAAGATCAAAGGTCTCACAGCAAAAACATTTAAAGCAACAAACGCTGCACTTGTCAAGGAAACCAACAAGACAGACACCGAAGGCTTATCATTCTCTACCATAGTAACGGATATGGCCAAGAGCACCCAAGAAATGATATCATTAACAATTGCAGATGAAAGAGCAACGTTTCCTATCTCTGTGTTGATTAGTTTGAGCTCTGCAAGGATTCTGGCAAGAACAGGAAATGCTGTGACAGAGAGAACAACACCAAGGAATAAGATGTAAGAGGGACTTCTGTGTTCTTCCTTGCTGAGTTGGATGAAAAAGGTAGCGAACAAAGATCCAAGTGCGAAAGGCAAGACCATGCCAACAACTGCTATGGCCACTGCTTTTTTACCTATGCGACTTAGTGCTGATGTGTCCATCCCCACTCCCACCAAGAACATAAAAAAAAGGATACCAACGTTTGACATTGTTTCAATCAATATCACACTTCTTTTAGGAAAAACTTGCTCTGCAAATGTTTTGTTTTTCCCAAGCAACGAAGGGCCCAATAATATGCCTCCCTACATTGTAACATGGTAACATTAGTTATGATTTTCTCATAAATTTGAATTATTATTATTATTTTGTTATTGTTTCAATCATCTGCATGTAGTTTCATGCAATGAAGACAATCTTGTTATAGGAGAAAATAGTACAATAATGGCATAATTAATTTTGTTCACTTTTATAATAATTAGTTTAAAATTCATCACTCGTATAATTTTTTATTGATTTTGTGCATTGAAATTGAACATTTATATGGTTAAGGGACTAACCAAGATTTCAGAAATAACGCGTGGCTGGCGAAAGGGCTTGAGTATGAAGACAAATAAGCGGGTGACAATCACAACTAACATTACTTGCACGATGAAGAGAGGGAGAGAATAGTGCAAAGGATTTTCTTTGTGCCATACCCCATCCGTTGTTATCATAACTGCTGAATAGCACACTATATCTCTTGTTTCGTTTACTTCAAGCGTCGGCATTTTTCCTTCTTATTCCTTATTCATCACCAGTTCTATTGTCACACATATGTTTCACTTCCTGTTGTACTCAATCCTGCAATGTCCAGAGGCTTCTTTTTCGTGTGTCAGATATTCATTACCTGAATTTTTCCAAGGCACTCGCTCTATAGTACTATATATGTGTGCAACATCGTCAATGAACGTTGCATGCGAAAACTGAATCGAATGAAATAGAATATATGGTTTGGATGATGGATATATTGAAAGTGAGAAAAGAGAGAAGGTGAAAGAATGAGGGGGACATTTTTTTTTCTTTCTCTTTTTGTCTGATGAAAGCTAGAAATGAGAGGAATGTAAAGAGAGAAGTCACGTTCGTTTTGTTTTGGTGGTTGTCCACTCAAGTGGGAGTTCTACTTAATTTCCATGGCTTATATTGGGGTCTCTATTTTAAGAACGATATGATGACATGAGTACTTGGGGGAACATGTGGGATGAAGATCCACTCAATTTGTTATGCTATTTTTTATTTTAAAATTTTGTATTAGGAAATATATATTTATATATATATATATATATCTTTCAATAAATTATTATCTGTATTAAATTTTAATGATTCGACAATTAAATTAAAAAATTTTAATATATTGATTAAATCTACAATATTTTTTAAAATTTAAAAATTATAAAATATTTTATTATATAGATTCAAATCAACGTATAAAATATTTTTATGATCAATTATTCGTTAGTTTAAATTAAGAAATGAAGTAACAAATAGTTATTAAAAAAGATTTAAACTTGATCTATGTATTAAATTTTTTTAATTTAATACTTAGATCGTTGAAATTTAACATACGTTACAAGTTATTGATTGAAATAACTTAATTCAACAATTATTACTCTTAAAGTCATTTGAACCTTCTTTATATATATATATATATA